AAAAAAAAAAGACGGGGGCAGGGAGGTGAACCTTGAACACGCTGTTTTTTTCTTTCTCCTGGCCTTTTTGTTCTCGCTTCTGCCCGCTGTAAGTGCGGTGACCACGGATTTGTCACTTCCTATCCGGGCTAGTTGCATAGCGGATAATTGCTGAGTGCTCAGTGCCCAATGTGTGGGAGCGCTACCAAGATTAGAAAAAGTAGAGGAATCAGGAGCGTATAGTTTCCCTTGTATGGGGGAAGGAAAAGGCGTGTTTTTTTTTACCTTTCCTTTGACTGGTGAGAAGGTAAGAGATGATGCAAGCAAGTGACTCTGGACAGACCCACTGGCATTGCGTGTGACGGCCAAAAAGAGGGGCTCGTGTCTGCGCATATAACAGTGTTTTTTTCTGTGGACATGCTTTTGTGATGCCTACAGCCGACAGACTGCCCTCACCTCTTGCTTTGGAGGCACTTGCATACGCATATACGTATGCGTGTCTCTCTCTTTCTCTCTCTGCGTTTTCTAAACGCATTCTGACGCCCTTATAATTGTGTATATCAGTCAAAGTGTCTGTTTTCTGCATAGCAAACAGCAAGGCAAAAAAAAAAAAAACAATGCCTGCATTTTACCAAAAAAAGAAAAAAAAACAGAGAGAGACTCGATTGCGTTGTAGCTGTGTAAAAGGTCTCTTTATTTTCTTCTCTTCTTTGAGTTTGCAGCAGTAGTGTGTAGGCTACCACGTTGCACACATAGCGCGTGCGTGCCCGGGACGGGGTGGAGGGAGAAAGATAATTCAGGCGTTATCAAGGAGTCCACAAAGAGAGAGAGAGAGAGAGAGAGGAGAGCGCGTGTGTGTGTGTTTTTGACGACCGAATCTGAAAAGCAGCATAGAAGGAAGAAAGCACAAAAAAACAACAACACCATCAACGACAAATGAACTCCAAATACCTTTCTGCACCGGTAAACATCTCACGGTTTATCGAGATGTCGTCGCGCAGCCTCTCGCCGCAGCGGGAGATATTACAGATGACGGCCCAGCTGCATCGCCCGCGGCCGAGTAAGAACCAAGACCCTGCTATTCAAGGCAACCGCGGTGTGGAAAATAAAGATGTAGTGCAGCAGATAGAGCACCAAGAACAGAATACCGTACAAAACACAGCGTATCTGCTGCAGTGTGGCAGCGCACTGTATGATCCAGTAAAGGAGGGCTGGCGCTGCTGGAACGGCCATGAGTTACGCATCAAGGAGAGAGCGCAATATGGGCCCGTTGACGGTGTTAGTTGCGACTTCTGTGGCTATACTGACTGGTTAGAGGAGCTGCGGGAGGTGAAGGAGGTACCAAAAACGAAGGGTCGGGGTGGGAAAAGGCCCAGGGCGAAGACAGTCAAGAAGGAGACGCTGTACTTTTACCATTGTGACGTGTGTGGTATGGATCTCTGCACTCACTGTGCCAAGGAGCTGCGCGATGATTCCCGCTACCATGTTCCCTGTATGCAGTGTAGGCGTTGCCTGGTGTTTATGCGCGACGATGAGGCAGTCTTGCACCGCTGCTACATGAAGCATGAGCACGGGACACCCACATTGGTGACGCCGTCGTCCTCAGCCAGCGGAGGGGCCTCTTCTTCCTCACACGCCGAGTCTGTTGCGCCCCTAGCATTGGCGACTCAGACCAAGCCGTCGCCCCCTGTGCTTGACGTGGCGCCGATGCCGCAGCGCCCAAAAACAACATGGGAGGTGTTCGTGACGTTTGAGACTGCAGTGGAGGAGGCGCTGGTGCGCCGCATTGGAGAGGCGCTTGCAGTGGAGGAGGCGGAGGCGCCAGAGGAAAAGGGACAACGCATTTTTCGCACGCGAACGAGACTTGCAGCGGAGGAATTTGCGCAGAGAATTCATGACACGGGCCTTTTTGCATCACTCCGCCGTTTCCGTCTATGAGTGGACTGGGACGGGCGTGTGTGGACGAATGGGAGATGATGGGGGGTGTCTTAGGAAGACACAAAGACCCAGACATTCACTCATGCGACACATGGGATTCACCTTACATGTTTTTGATTTTTTTTTTNAAACTGTACTGTGTAGTTGTATGCCTTTTAGCTGGCGAATGCGTCTTGCTGCTTCTGGTGATGATAATATTGCTGCTGCTGCTACTAGTAGTAGTAGTAGTAGTATTGGCAGTAACTAGAGTTAATATCTGTGTTGTCGTGGGCCGCTTGCTTGACTATGGGATGCGTCTGACGGTCTGTTCTTATGCTTTAATAATAATTGACACAAACCAAGCAAAGAGGAGTTTGATGGCAGTGGTGGAAGTGGGATGGAACATACGTGCGGGTTACGTTGGAGACACCAAATGCACCAGGCAAACCCCCTCCATCCGTTGTGCTGAGGTGCCGACGGAGACATGTTTCCCGTCAATACTGATGGCAGCCGAGTCTGTGGGAACAGACAGCATTCAGACAATTTGGACGCTTCGCTCCCTGGAACATCAGATGGATCACCACATGGAGCACTTGGCACATATCATGGGGAAGGAGCTGGGGTGCTCGGAGGATGATCCTCTCATGTTGGTGGTCCCTGAGATTTGGCATGAACAGTTCAATGTGATGCAAACCTTGTTTCGCGTCATATTGGAGTCGGGATTTACGTCTGCGTTGTACTGCCTCCGTCCGAGTGTCGCAAGGACATTAGCTTCAGGTAAGGCTTCCGCTGTTGTGTTAGACATTGGCCACAACCACGCCACAACGACTGCGGTGCTAGACGGCTACGCGCTAAGAGGCACGATGACATCAAGTGAAGTGGCTGGAAGCGCCGTCACGTGCCGTCTCATGGAGATGCTAGACAAGAGGGAACTAGAGTCGTTGGAAAGCGTGGAACGCTACCATCTGCCTTCTATTCGGGAATGGGCCTTGAAAGACGTTGTCAACGATGTCAAACGGATGATATGCCGTGTGCGTCCCGGGAGATCTACGCTTCCTCGGAAAGAGGAGGAAGAGCCACTGGTTTTGCGTGCCCCCGACGGGAGTTTGGTTACTGTGGGAGCGAACGCACGAACGGAGCCATATGAGTTGCTGTTTGCGCCTTCATCTGGAGCAGGGAAATCATTGCCTGATCTCCTTGTGACATGTAAACGCTGCCTTGATCCTGAATGGCAACAGCAGGCAGTTCCGCACGTTTTATGTGGCGGGACCTCCCAGACGCCTGGCCTTCGTGAGCGGCTGCTAAAGGAGGTGCAACAAAGGGATTCGTCTTATTTCCGCTACGAGAAGGAAGGTGCTTTTAACGTATCGGAAGCAGTGGATGGCGCATGGACTGGTGCTTCGCTGGCGGCTGACAGTTCCTCGTTTGCCTCATTATGGGTAACACGCGCCGATATGGAGGAGGAGGGCGATTCTATTCTACACCGCAAGTTGTTTTACTAGGGAAAGCCTCTTCTCCAGGGCGACGGCGCGGTCTTGAGATTGTTGGTGGCGTGTTGGTTTTGCAGAAATCAAAACATGTTGGGTGAGAAAGCAGCTGTGAGGCTTCCTCGCGTTCGAAGTTGCGCTGACCTGTGTGCATTTTTGGGGGGCAGAAGAAAATTTCCTCTTGGGTGTAGTTTATTCTGAAATAAATCAAATTGCGGTTCTCATGTGTGTTCCCCCCCCTTATCCAAAAAAAAACTTATTCTGTTTTTGTTGTTCATGCTGTTTTCATTATTTTTACATAACAAGTCACAAGGGCTGACGCCTATTACTATTAGTACTCACACCTCGGAGGTTTTTTTTTTTTGGAAGTTTTGGAGGGTGCCTTATTCTTTGTGTGGATGACTAACCGTGGTTTCAATGCTGCCGCTGCGAGGAACCGACAGCACTACCTCCAACTTTTGAGAGAAAGTGCAGGGGAGACAGTATCGCGGGCAACCGTGTTGAGTTGTAACAAGAGTACCTGGAGCGCGCTGCACCGAATTCGTTCCCATGACGCTAATCTTCACCTTCCAGAAAAGTGGGTGCAGACTTCGAGCACGCGCCTGCAGACGTCACTTGAAGGTGTAGTTCCGCAGGAGAAGTTTCTCAACAATGACTTATTTCTTTGTGCGCTTATTCACCCTAGTTATGTCCGTTCGCGTATCGCCCGCGCTGCGGTAGCGATGCCTATTGAGTTAACATTGACGGGGTCGTCGACATTGCGCCTGCTGAAGGAAGTTGCAACGGCGCACGGCAGGATGGAATTTTTGCAGACGAGGGAGATTGCCGACATCCCACGGGCGCTTGGCGTGGAGGATCTTGTGTTGTACGACAAGGCCATGTTTGCGGTGGACCGACTAAGTAAGGAAGGGGATGACGAGAGCAGCAGTAATAATATTAACAGAAACCCACCGGAAGAGGTACAACTTGCGGCCGCGACAGCGCTGTGTGGTGCGGTGGCTCTCGCTGAAGGTGTGCCCTCTGTCGCTCTGCTGCTGGATCGACTGCTGCTGCCGCCGCTGCGGCGGCGGCGGGGAAAAGAGGCGAGGTAATTTTTTTTGCCGTTTTGTTGTTGGGGTGTGGGTGGGTGGTGGAAGAGTGCCCACAACACTTCTGTTGATGCCGTAGCCGCGATAGCTCAGTTGGGAGAGCGTCAGACTGAAGATCTGAAGGTCCCTGGTTCGATCCCGGGTCGCGGCAAACCTTTTTACTGGGTCTCTCTTCAGACCCAGTCGGTCTCTATCAGAGGCTGTCTGAACCAGTCTCTCGTTGAATTGTTATGGTGAAAAAAAACCTCTGGTTTGTTATGACAAATCCAAAAGGGTAGGGGAAGCGAAACGCAGAATATTGATCATATTTGTTTCCTTGGGGTTTGTTCTTCTTGAATCGATAATTAGTTTATACACACACAATAAACGCCAACATTAAAGAGGGCACAAGACTTATTGTTAAAATGTCACTCGAGACGCTTGTTAAACAATGGTTGTCATGGGATCGTGATTCCGCAACGCGGAAGACAATTGAGGAGCTCTGGCGCGATCAAAATACCGAGAAGTTACAACAGCTTCTTTGCACTCGTATGGAATTTGGTACTGCCGGCATCCGCGGAAGGATGGGAGCTGGATTCAGTCAGATGAATTCCCTTACCATCATCCAAACTGCACAAGGCCTGTGTGCGTACCTGAAGTCGTCCTTTGCAGCAGAGGAGCTCTCTTCAAAGGGTGTGGTGATTGGCTTCGATGGTCGTCATGGCAGCAAAGATTTTGCGCGATACTCTGCAAATGTGTTCCTAAACGCTGGAATTCGCACGTGTCTCTTTCGTCAGGTGGTGCCTACCCCCTTTGTGCCTTTTTCCATTCGTCACTACGGTTGCTTGGCTGGTGTGATGGTAACGGCGAGCCACAATCCCAAGGAGGACAATGGCTACAAGGTGTACTGGAGTAACGGGGCGCAAATTGTTTCACCTCACGATAAAAACATCTCCAAGGCCATTATGGAAAATCTAGCCCCACTCGAATCCTCATGGGAGACTGCACCAGGCGCTATTGATCCATTTGATGAGATTTGGACTCAGTATTTTGCCACGCTTGAAGCTGAATACAAACCGCTGGCCTCTGGCTACCCCGTTAACCTCACATACACTGCAATGCACGGTGTTGGGTGCCCCTTCACTGTTAAGGCGCTGGAGACTGCAGGTGTTCCACGTAACTGCATCCATGTGGTCAAGGCGCAGGCGGACCCAGACCCGGAATTCAGCACAGTGGTATTCCCCAATCCAGAGGAGGGTGCCGGAACTCTTACCCTCGCGATGGAGACAGCAGCTGCAACGGACTCTCTTTACATTCTGGCCAACGATCCAGATGCTGACCGACTCGCTGTTGCCGAAAAACAAAAAGACGGCAGCTGGCGCGTCTTCAATGGCAATGAAATTGGCGCATTGCTGGGCTGGTGGATTGTCTTCCACGCTCGCCGTTGTGGAGAGACGTTGGATAACTGCTACCTCATTTCAAGCACAGTAAGCTCTATGATTCTTCGTTCCATTTCCCAAAAGGAGGGAATGCATTTTGAGGAAACACTCACAGGATTCAAATGGATGGGAAGCTTGGCGGAAAATATTCAGAAAACATCATCAGCGCGTGTTCTTATGGCGTTTGAAGAGGCTATCGGATACATGTGCGGAACACGCGTCTTCGACAAGGACGGTGTGACAGCTGCTGCCATTGTGGCCGACATGATTTCCTACATCATGAAGGAAGAACACGGAAAGCGACTCTCAGAAAAGCTTATTGAGGTGTTCCAGATGTATGGCTTCCATTTCACTTGCAATTCGTATGTGATTGCCAAGGATCCCAGCCTTGTAAAGGAAATGTTTAAGGCGATTGCAACTATGAACAATGGGGCATATCCGACTGAAGTGGCAGGNTCCCAGCCTTGTAAAGGAAATGTTTAAGGCGATTGCAACTATGAACAATGGGGCATATCCGACTGAAGTGGCAGGTGCTCGTATTCTTCACATTCGCGATTTGGCGACAGGACTGGACACACGAATGCCTGACAAGAAGGCGAAGTTGCCAGTATCGGCTTCGAGCCCTATGGTGACATTCTACTTTGACAACGGTGTCACCATGACCCTTCGTGGGAGTGGAACGGAGCCGAAACTGAAGTGGTATGCTGAACTTATTACAGACACGCCGTCGAGGGCAGGTGAACTGCCGTTATTTGTTGACCGCGTCGTGGAGGCGCTCGTGCGGCCGTCTCACTACAATTTCATTAAGCGCTCAAACGTGTGAGGAAAAGAAAAATAGGGGGTATAGCATATCAATGGGCTTTTTAGTTTGGTATCCATGAATAGGGTTTAAAAAAAAAGGATGTAAAGCAACTCCACTCCTCTTTTAACTCACCCACATCCACACACACACACAAGCATGGAGTGATTAATGAAACTGTGTGGGAATGAGCATGTTGTGGTGACGACAAAAGCCATACCGAGGTTTCTTCAAATATGCGGAAAAAAAGAAAACGAAATTCTTTTTTTTTTATGACGGAATGGTTCATCTTTAATCTATTTATGTGATGATCGTCTTTTTAATTTCTATCCTTTTTTTTTGTTTTTTTTTTTTTTGTCCTCAACGTCTGAGGATGTTGCACATTTTTTCCTTCACTCTATCGCGTATCAAATGGTTCCTTTTTTGTTCTTGCCGTCCTCTCTAATATTGGGCGATAAAAAAAGGCGGAATGAGTTGTGTGTCCGCCACGTTGAGTGCAAAAATCATTCCCGGTAAACCGGCCTCACCGGGTGCCGGGCCAGCCCCTATAGAGGAGATGAAGAAGTGGCCATATCAGGCAGCACAGTACGGGTGCCAGGACCTCCTTGCCTGCAGCTCCTATTGTGACGAATCCGGCGATGTTTTTGTAGTCGATATGAACAGCATGCAACTGGTGCAGACCTTGCACGGCCATGGCGTACGGGTGACCTGTGTCCAATGGAAGCCACCGCCAGCGTCGTATTTGCAGCACGGGTTGTTTCTCATTACGGGAGATGCTGGGGGGAATGTTGCGATTTGGGATGTGGCTGAAGGTGACATCTTGTATAGCATTCAGGTGCCTAATTCACAGCCTGTACATGCGCTACTGCTCTTAACAAGACAGCATTTGTTGGTAGTGACGAGAGATTGCACAGGATTTGTCTATGACTCACACCTCGCGGATAAAGAGCCGCTTCAAGATGTTCAACTGCCACTTCGGTCAGAGGTATCAGGATCCCTTGTCCCTTTACGTTTGTGTACCTCGAAACTAAGCACGTCTCAGACGTCCTGCATTGTATTCGTCGATCGTATCCGTGTACTAGGCTCCTTGGAGATTGGGGCCAAAAGAAACTACAGTGGTTCATGGGCAAAGGATCTTATCTATGATAGTGAAGACGGTTATGAAACAGTGTTTGATGCTGTCTTTAGTGAGTCTCAAGAGGAGTTGCTGTACTTCGCAACACGAAATTCAGTCGGGGCGTATGACTGGAAAACGAGTCTGCTTCTTAACGAACAAGTGCTCTGGCATACGAAAGGTGATGTAGAATTTAGGCGTATCTTTCCATCCTCACCTGGCACCCTGGCTGAGAGTTCACTCCAGCTTCCACTCTTGTATTCATTTGGCACGGACCAAAGATTGTGCGCCTGGTACGTGTCTCGAACGGATAAGATTACAAGTGTGGCTGCCGATGTAAGGGGTGCGAGGATCGCGTCAAAGACTGTGGCAAATGTAGTCCAATCGACGATGGCGGCAAACTTCTTTGCAGTTATCTTCACTGATGGTTCCGTGGCTCGGTGGAGGTTTGCAGTAGAGTCCCGGCGTTGGTTACTCGAGGGATATCTTTCTTTTTCCCTTGTCAAACCTACTGGTCTCTGCTTGGTGGGGGACAATACGGTGTGCTGTGCGTTGGAAAGTGGCCACTTGGTGCTGACTGATGTAAAACACTGTACGACACTTAGACGGGTGAATATTGTTCACTCTGGTGGAACGCGAATCATACTGCTGATTCCCCACAGGTGGGGAGAGTCTGTATGGGTGGTCACCAACAAGTGTGTGCAGTTCCGTCATTACCACCAAGTCACTCTTTTTGACTGTCGCAGCGGTGTTGTATTGTGTGTGCTTAGGAAACCTACACACCCCGATGCTACTCGCATGAAGGGTATTACCCTAAATGCTACAGGAGCATTTTTACTGTTAGCTTATCTTGATGGCACGTTTGAGGTGTGGAGTGTGGAAGGGAGTGGTCTCATTTACTCCTTTGAGGGTATGGGTGTGTCGGGTGTTTCATGGGCGCCACAAACGTTCTTGTCATGCCTTAGGGGAGTTCAGGGTACACCGCAGCTACTTGCTATTGTATTTGCAGACAGTACAATGAGCTTTTGGACGGTCTACAAAGATCGAGTAGTACAAAACCGCGATGTGGCTCCTCTTCTTCCTAGTGGCTCCGCCAATGGAGTTTTCTGCGTGTCGACTGCCGAGTCGTTGGCAATGATTGATGGTTCAGGGATACCTTCTATCGTCAAGAATGAAGCGTTGGATTTTCACGCGATTCCTTTGAAGAACATTCCTCTAAACAGCCGTGCTATAAGTATTGCCGTTTCAAAGGCAGATGGAGTCAAGACTAATAGTAGTGCAGACGCGAGTCAATTGCAGGTCTGGATTGCAGTTGTTTTCGCTGATGAGTCATTTGGTGTATGGAACGTGTCCAGTCGGGAGCGACTGAGCTACTCCAAAGCAACACAGATAAACATGAGTGTGAAAGCCTTGACATGGATGGGAGATATGCTTATTGTTCTAACCACTACTGGTTCCATCGCTGTTGTTGACAAGTTCCTTATTTCGGTCAACAGCAGTGTGTCCTCGAAGTCTCCCCGCCGACCGATCCAGAGCAGCGCCTTTTTCCTACCAGCTCATCGAACTTACATTCAGACGTCACTGGAGACCCAGATGAAGTGTACCCCGCTTGATTCAAACTTCTCTGAGTCCACCAACTCGCCAAGCTACTTGGTGAAAAATGTTGACCCAAACAGGAGGCCGTGCCGAGGCCCATTTGGCCAAACTATATCAGATGATATTTCAACACTGGCACGAGAGCTTGACCTTTACAAAGAGACTATGATACCAAGGCATATCCGGGAACCGTTGCAGCGGGCAGTTTCCCAGCGATGCACGGAGGAGGTTGCGTTGTGGGTGGCGCGGTTCTTTGGCCAGCAGGAGAAACAACGCTTCTGGACCCAGTTCTGTGTGAGCAAAGCTCTCTGGCAGCCTTTACCCGGCTCAAATGATCAGCTGCAATTAACCGAACGAAGGGAAGTGGGACGTGAGCTGGAACCTCCTTTGTCCTACATCTGCAGTGACCGCCTCTCAGAGGCAGTTGCAGTTTCGGAGGTGATTCGCAGAAACCGCACGTGCTTCAATGAGTATCGTATAGCCGCCCTTGAGGCTACTAAAGGCCAAAACTTGAATAACTCGAAATGCCGTTTGACAGTAGCACGAGAGTTGTTGAGACTTCAAGAACCTCAAAAGGCTGTTGATGTTTTGATGGATGCCAATTATGAAAGTGATCAATTCCCTCAATTGGCAAATCTCGCCGTTACTATAGCCGCCTCAACCGCCGCCCATGATTCGCCATCACAGGCCCTGCTTGCCCTCACGACCAAACGTGCTGCTGCTATGTTCTTAGCGAGAGGGGATTTGGATGACGCAGTGGAAAAGTTCATACTCTCCGGAGACCACTACGATGCTTGTCTGACACTCCAATCCTGTGGTAAATGGAACGAGGCCGTTACATTGGCGAAGATGGCTTCCATGTCGTCTGAAAAGCAGCGGGATCTCCTTTATAGGTGGTGCTCTTACTGTGCCAAGCGAGGGGAAATGATGGATGCGGCACGCTTGCTTTTCTCACTTGGCTCGCCCTGTGAAGCGCTGGTGTTGCTTTCTGAGTCGGTGCACCTAACTGACGTTGCAGGTTTGCTTGCAATAGCCCTTCTAGAGGTTCCTACCTTTTCCTCAAGGGAACACCTTCAGAAGTTGACGCCGTCGCTCTCGAAGGACGAAGATCCATCTGATGCGTTGCGTTTGGGCGAAGTTGTGCTGAACACCTTGACAGACTACTGCAGTGTGCTGAACTCTGTTGGCAATGTGGTGGCGGAGCGTTCCGTGCTGGAACTCATTGCGTCTCTCAAGCGTGAGAACAGAGGTGCTTCCACTGCCGCGGACTGAATGGAGGTTTTTTTTTCCCCTTTACTTTTCTTCCATCACTTGTGATGATCTTAGAAGAGAATGCTATCTTCTTTTCAGTCCGTTTTTTTATTTTTTTTTGGTGTTTTGTAATTTTTTGTTTTTTTGTTTTCTGGGCGGGTGCTTGGCACCTTTATGTTAGTCTCAAGCTTTCTTCGGTTTCTCCTCTCTTGGGTTGTATGAACTTGTCTGCGATGAGCGAAGCAAGGTGTTTAAGCCATGAATGATGCGAGGCCAAAGGAGCGCTAAGTTCGCAGAGTATACTGCGACGTATGCCATCCTCAAACGCCTCGGGCTTCATGATACGGTGTTGATTGAAAAGCGTGACGCATCCGTGGGCTACGGTGTGTTCGTGAAGGATTCTTGCGACGCAGGAACACCGTTGCTGGTGGTTCCCTCTCGTCGTGCGTGTGCAGCTACCACGCTGGAGCGTCTGGGGGCGAATATGCGGTTTCTGCAGTGCATGGAGGCGTCGAGACTTGAGGCGCTGGACGGCGGCGTGGTGTCGCGGCTACTGGGCTGTGCAACAGTGCAGTGGGCCACACTGGCGTGGCGTCTCGCTATTGAACACCAGCGCAGTGTCTCGCCTTGGTGGGGATGGCTGAACGTACTGCCTGGCCCCGAGGCGTTCAAGACAATGGAAGAGGAGTGCGAGCGTCTGTGTCGGCTTCACCACGCAGCGCTATTGCCATACTTGATGGATGCCCGAAGTGGCATAGAACGAGAGGTGAAGGCTGTCTATGATATGCTTTCTGAACGGAACGTATCACCCTCCCCGACCTATTTTCGTGGAGCAGTTAATGTTGTCTTGTCGAGGGCCCAACATTTGCCGGCGTGCTGGACCAACGCCATTGAAGACCCCATAGAGTTGGGTATTCTGCCTTTTATTGACCTTATTAATGGACACGATGGTGTTGAGAGGAAGCGGAACGCTGCAGTGGAAGTGGCGTTTGCTGTAGAAGAATTGCCTGCCTGGTATCGTGCATGGTTCATCCAGGAGTCTGAGCCAAGGGGTATTGACGGTGAAAAGGAACTCCATCGTCTGTTGGAGGAGCACTTTTTTGCCTTGGTGGTCTTGGAGCGGGCACTCACCGCGTCTGAGGAGGTGATACTGCAGTACGAATTGCAGCCGTGGGCCACAGGAACTCTGGCGCCGGAGGAGGGACTGCTACTCGGGAGACTGTTGAGGTATTTTTTTTAAATGTTGGTGGCAAGGCTGACGACTGTGCATATGTGTGTCTGTGTGGAGCAGTTTTTTTTTTGTTGTGCCATTCACACGCGGAGAAAGGAAGCTTTCTCGATTCATCTTGAACATTTCTTTTGTTTTGCTTTGATGTTTTTTTTTCTTGTGAAGGCTGATTTTTTTTTTAGTGTTTGGTCTGGGGTGGGGAACACGTGCGTTGTTGGCAGTGGAGTGAGAGAGGAATCACAACAGCCCCACGGGAAGGTGGTGTGTTGGATCACACACACTCACACTCACACACACAAGGTAGAAGGTGGCGACGGCACGAAGGATGTCTCTTGCTTTTGTGCGTCTTAAGATGCGGTGCACGACGTACACAGTGGACGTGATGCGCCGTTTCTGCGACGGGTGCAATACGGTAATCGCAATCGCCGCGGACCCGCTCCGCCGTCTTGGTCACCGCATTGCCCAGGAGTCGCCTTGGGTTGTGGTTATGTTCGTCTCCTCCGGCATTGCCGTTTTTCCGCTGATCCTCTACCCGGTGCTGAAGCCATACCTCATGAATGACACACGGTGGATCAAGGAGGAGGAACGTGTGCGTCTATGCCTGCAGAAGGGTATTGACCCGTATCCGTACATGCGCCACAAAGACTACGTCTTCGGCAATGTCGTCCCGGCGACACAGTCTGAAGAGGAGGCACCTCTCTCGGCGTCGTGGGAGCACCGGGCGATGCTGGATTTCCAGAGAGCGAAGGAGGAGCTGCGTAAGGAGGTCGGCGGCAATGTGGAAGATTCCGTCGCGAAGCTTATGGCGCTGCGTGCGGAGCTGCGCAGGGAATTTGAGCGCAACCAGCACACTGTGTCGAGTGAGCCGAAGAATCTCATTTTCAGGGGGCGGAAGGACGTCGACACACTCAAGTCGTAGCGAAACAGTTCAAAATCACATTTGCCCCGCTTTTCTGTTTGTTTGCGATTTCCCTTGATGTCCATCTATATGTGGTCCTACTTTAACAATCTATATGTACTTGTCGCTCTTTCCCCTTTTCCTTTATTTTTTCTTGTTGGTCCTCATGGGTTCACACTGAAGTGTGCGATGCTGCGGCGGTGGGCTGTCTGCTTGGGGCCTGCGAAGGCAGCGGCGACGACGACTGACGCAGCGGCGAAACTGCCGGCAGGGAAGCCGGTGAACAAGTCGTGGTTCCGTCACAACCTCATCATCCGGCGCAAGGCGTCGTACCGCTCCCGTTGGGGCACAGGTGCCGAGGGATATGGCACGGGTGTCCCATTCAGCGATCAGGTTAAGCTACACTGCGTCGACAACACCAACTGCAAGCACGTGCGGCTTATATCGAAGGCCACGGCGGAGCGTTTCGCACATTGCCGCGTGTTTCCTGCAGTGGCGCACCGCGTTTCGGTACAGCGCTTCAAATCCGGTCGGGGCGAGGTGAGCCGACATCGTGTGAAGCCCGGTAATATTTATTGGGTCTGCCTGCTCTCTAGGCGCCAAACCAACACTAGGATGAGTGGTCTTCAGACAAATTTTGACAGGAATACATGCATCTTGATGAACGATCAACGCGTGCCACTGGGTACTCGTGTGATGTACTGCGCTGGACGCCACGTCAATCATAAGTACCACCTGAAGGCAGTGGTGCTTGCAAATTTTTTTGTCTGACTACTTACAGGAGACTGTCTCCGTTTCTCGAGCATGTTTTCTGTGTTCGGATCCTCTTTCTCTTTCTCGCTCTCTCACACACACACACACAATTGTGTGCAGACCGCTTGCTTGTTTGGTTGAGTGCTTGTGACCTTGCTAGTCAAGGTGACATGCACGCGGGAATTTTATTCTTTTATATCATTCTTTTTTTTGGCAACTTGATCCAGTTTGATTGTTCCCTTTTGCTTTCTGTTCACAGTCACTCCCAATAATTGGAAGTGCTATCATGTCCGTTGTGGAGGAATTGCCTTTGGACAGCGAGGGGGTGTCCCCCCCAGCCGTTGAGGTATCATCGGAGGCTGAGCGGGCTGTTGACGTAGTGCTGTGTGAGAGGCTGAAGAAGGACGGCAACGAGCTCTTCACCAGTGGTGAGGTGGCAGAGGCGCTCAAGTTGTACCGAGAGGCGCTGAAGGTGGCGCCCATCAAGCCTGTGCCGAAGAGAAAGGATGCCAAGCGTGACACGGCAACGGGTGCAGCCGTAGAGACGACGACGCCCACTCCAGCGACTGACGGCGAAAAGATGGGCGATGAGAGCGCCGAGGTTCAGGAGACCGACGATGATGTGGACTACACGCTCACTTCACAAGTGTACTGCAATACCGGATTGTGCCTGTCGAAGTTGGAGATGCACGAGGATGCCGTGGATAACCTCACGGAGGCAATACGGCATAACAGGCAGTACACAAAGGCGTATGTGCGTCGGGCGGAGTGCTATTACGTGCTGGGAAAATGGTCCAACGCGTACGGGGACTACGAGGAGTATGAGAAGCTGGGTGGCACGTTGGATGCCGCTGGCCGAGCTCACAAGGTGGAAGCTAAAGCGAAGGTGGATGAGGAGATGCAGAAGATGTTAGGTGACTTGAAGAACCTGGGCAATCGCTTCCTCAACTATTTCGGGCTCTCCACTGACAACTTTAAGTTCGACAAGGACCCAGGCACGGGAGGTTATTCAATGCGATTTGAGAAGTGAGAAAAAAGAACCGGGAGGGTGTGCCCGTTCCTCCCTATCCCCTCCTATTCTGCCTACTTATTTCTGCTGTTAAGTTTACTTGAAAGAAACCAATATTGGAACGGCAAAGTTTTTTTGTTTTGTTTTTGTTAGTGCATCCAGCTGACGACGCGAAAAGTACTTGTGCCCTCTTTATTCTTTTCATTTCCCATCTTGTAGAATAATGCGGCTTAAAGAGGCGTGATGCGCTGTTGCGCCGCAGAACACGACTATGCCTGCTGCTGCCTGCAAACTGAAGATGATGCCCTTCCGTGCCCCACTCAGTTTCCCTGATGGGAGTATGACACATCTATCGACGTGCAGGGAGTGGGGGGGGGGAGAGGAAAGGCGGTGGAAGGCCCGTCTACTGCGTGGTGTGTTGTCAGCTCGTTGCTGCGCCACCGTCAGTTGCCAAAATTCTGTGAGTTTTAGATGGGGCTTCTTCCTTGTGGACGAGGAGCGCACAGCACTCGCTGTTTGCGTGTATTAGGGGAGGTGATCTCCCTGCGCTCTGGGCGTCCACACGCACCTGCAATGGGGCAGAGTGACTGAGGTGTTTTGCTCACTGATGATGGTACGACAAGGAGCAGACTAGCAAAAAAAGGAACTCGTCCGTGGCCAAAGGCCAAGTAGTCTCTCCGTCATCTCGATTGTACGGCATCTCTTTTTCTTTCTTGCACCTCACCGAGGGGAAGTGGGGGTGGGGGGAGTGAGCGCTAGTGCCTTTGATTGTCTGGTGCTTTTATCCATTCTTGCATCGCTATTGCACATTCGTGCTGTTGTGGCTTCATGCCCCTTTTTATTTTAAATGTTTATTTTCCCTCTTGATTCTCCCTCTCCAGTGGTGCCACGGGGCGTGAAGGACTCGGTTGAGGAGCCTCTCACTCCAGCTCTGCATGGCGTCGGTGCGGGGGCCGGAACGGCACGGCGTTGCCACGGCAGGTGCTACTGCTGGGTCTGCACAAAAGAAGGACGTGGAGGGCCGTCCACCGTTGCCGCATGCACCCATGGGCCCGTTTAACTGGGAGACACTTGTTGCGGAGATGAAGTTAGAGGCGCGCGAGTCGCGACGTACCGTGGAAAAGAAGGCACAGCGACTTGCCTCTCTGGACAACAAGCTGCGCGCAAAAGTGGAGGCGAACGCAGAGGCGGTGCTCGCGATACAGCAGGTGGATCGCCAGATGGAGGAGGCGGTACAGCGTGAGAAGCGGCTTCACCACCTTGCTGCTGCGGCGAAACAGCGAAAGACGCAACTGAAGTTGGATGTAGAAGCGACAGAGAAGAAGTTGGAGGCTATTCTGAACCAAAACCAGCAAACGGTAATAATGAGACAAGGGACGGCGACAGCAGTGGAGCCTGCTGCCACTCCGAAGGCACCCAGCGATGACAGGCACCCGGAGGTAGAACGCATGCTGCGGGAGAGGCATGGGGTGGCGGAGCTGCAACAAAAACTCCACGAGACCCGTACAAGATACAGGAAGGTATGCGATGAAAACAAGAAGCTCTCTGCGACACTAGAAGGGATTAATGCAGAAGGAAATATTGCAGTCTCACAGCACAACGAATACAGTAGAAATAGCAACAGTGGAATCGGTGAACATCACTTTGCATTCAGTAATGCACTTCATGATCTCATCGAAAGTTTTGAGGCAGTCAAGCTTGCAGCAGCTGCGTCTGAGTAACTTCATCTCGCAGCGCATTCATTGGTTTCTCCTTTCTCGCTTCCACTCTCTGTTTTTTGTTTATATTTTCAATGGGTGTATAGAGTGAAGTTGCTGCCTGATTTATTCGGCTTTCGTGTTCTCCGTGATGTCGTGTCTGTATCACACTGTGGTTTTGCTGCAGCTGCCTCTTCTGGGTGCGGCTGTCATTCGNTGCCCCTCACTCCTTGGCTTCCTCACTTATGTCCTGTGGTGAAGGTGTGAAGACCCGCATGGAAGTTGCCGCTCTGCTGGCGCGCTACTTGAGGGTGCAGTCACCCGCCCGTGCGGACCTGGTCGCCGCCCATCAAGATCTCTTCACGCCGGACGTCGTGGAGGCGCTGGAGGGAGCCAGCAACGTGCTGTTGCAAACCCAGCGACAAGCGAAGGATGCGTGTCGTTCCATCAGCAGCGTGATGGACGATGTTGACCTCCCAATGGCGACGCGTCTCACCGCTAAGGAGCTCCATGACCTTGATGTCACGGAGGAGACAATGATCACGCGGTTTTCGGAGACGTTAGCGGCGCTTCTCTCAGAGGGGGAGATGCCACGAGTTGCCATGCACGGTGCACCTCCATCGGCGTGTGTGGACCGAATGGAATTTTATAAGCCTTGGCATCAGCAGTGCCCCATTGTGATGGAGATTCTGTCGTTCCTTCCAGTGGAGTACATTCTCAGCGTCGCGGAGGTGGTGTGCAGGTCGTGGCAGATGTGGCTGTGTGTCCCCGACGTGTCGAGGGCGTTCTGGGCGGGGTGCGTGCAGCAGGAGTTCCCGGAGATGCTGCGCACGTTGGTGGCGTCGGAAGGCCCCGACTTGTACGAGAGCGACTGGCGCACAATTGCGCTGGTGTGCTGCACGCAAGACGACGACGACGACGATGAGGATGAGGATGGCGCTTCTGGGGCGCCGGGGGCAGAGGCGGCGACGCAGTGATACAGCGCGAGGAGTAGGCGTACACTCTTCACCTTGTTGTTGGAGCACGCACACACACACACACACACACACACACACTCACGCGCCCTTGCGTGGGTCCTTTCTTGAGTTGTGGAGTTTCGCCGATNCACACACACACACACACACACACACTCACGCGCCCTTGCGTGGGTCCTTTCTTGAGTTGTGGAGTTTCGCCGATCTTCTCTCTGATACTTTTTTTCTCCCTCTGTTTCTCTCTCTATCTATCTCCGCTTTATTGTTGCTCTTCTCCTCCCTCACGCCTTTTTTTTTTCTCTCTCTCTCTCTCTCTGTTTCTCTGTCGCTCTCGTTGAGAAGTTTCTAGAACACCTGCAAGCGTGTTGAGGGCTTTGCACCGGAACAGAACGAAAGGAGGGCATAACAAGGATCGGGGCGGTCGAATACACACAGGCACACGCACACAGAAACAACATGACGTTCTCTCCATTAGCTAGCCAGTGCATCGCTGAGTTCATTGGAACGTTTCTTTTTGTGCTCACGATCCCGTTGGCCTCACTTGGTGTTGGATCTCTTGCTCCGCTGCCGATTGGATTCATGCTCGCGGCAATGTCATTTTCCTTCGGTTACATCAGCGGGGCTCATTTCAATCCGGCAATTTCCTTTGCCACGTTCATCAACGGTAAGATTCCCTTTAAGCAACTAGTATTTTACATGGGAACGCAGATTGTGGCGGCGTTTACGGCATCACTGTACGGCTCTGCGATTGTTGGGCTTGATATTCCCGTTCCGTCAACAGACGTGGAGCTGGTGAGTGTCTGGCAGGCCATCCTGTGTGAAATGGTGTACACCTTTGCATTGACCTCGGTGGTGCTGCATGTAAACTATTCCAGGCAGCGGAGTAATGAGTTCTACGGCTTTGCGATCGGCATGACAGTTCTCTCCGCTTCCTTTGCTGTCGGTGGCTTCACCGGAGGCGCTTTTAATCCTGCTGTAGCCACAGGCACACAGCTGGTTGGTTGCATTGGCGGAAATTGTAAGCCACTCATTATGTTTTGGATATATTGGGTCGCTCCTCTCGGTGGGGCTTTTTTGGCCTCCATGGCCTACCAGATTCTTGACACTCACGAGCGTGACAACAGTACAGGTGCTTCGGGACAGGTATTTTAAGTACCTAGAATACGGAGTGGCATCTGCAAACGAAAAAGAAAAAGAAAAAAGAAAGTGGGGTGAACGAGCGGATCTGGCGTGGTAGGATGGAATGGGGCCTCAAATCATTATGTCAGTGGCGGAGTGAAATCCAAACCTATTTAACGATAATGTGGTGAATCATTGTTCAGCGCGTTGATGTGTGTTTTCGGCCACCATGATGCTCTTCTGTTCTCCTCTCTCTACATATATATATTATTTTTCCGGTTAGGGCTTAAGCGGAGAGTAGCGTGTGGTGCTTCTGTTTGTTCGTGTTTTATTAGAGAATGAGCGCGTCTAGTATTCCGCTGAAGGTGCTGTTCGACGCCATCGGCACGACAGTTTCACTGGAGGTATCTAATGGCGAGCTCTACACGGGCACTCTGAGTGAGGTCCAGGATAACATGAACGTACTGCTCACATCTGCGAAGAAGACGATGAAGTCGGGGCGTATAGTGGAGCAAAAGAGCGTGTTTGTTCGCGGCTCCACCATTGTGTTCTTTCAGCTGCCGGACGCCCTGCAGACCAGCCCGGCGTTGGTGAAGGCGGGGCAGGCGGTGTCCAACGCCCTGGATGACAGGGGAGATGGCAAGGGATTTGGTGCGCAACGCGCCGCCAAACGCGCACGCAAATAATTGAGGAGGAAACATGTTCTGCGGTTTTTTTTTGATTTTCACGTTGTCTTTTACTGGACCGAGATGTCCCAGCAGCAACAAAAGTGGATGTGGCGCCCACACCGCGGCGGGGAGCGTTGTATGGCTGTGGTGTGTGGCGCTGCCTCCCTTCTGAGGGATGTCGCGAGGAAACGTGAGAACGCCGATGGAGCACTCGTAAAGAAAAGAGGAAGAGAGGTGCGCCTCTGAAGGGGGGAAAAAAAGGTGCTGATGATGTGTGGGAGTATCGACCCACTGCATCGTTTGCACAACAACTGCAAGTTAAATTGATACAAAAAAAAAGAGGTATGTCTTGTCTTGTGATTTCTTTTTTTCCTTTTTTTTTCGTGCACGTTGGCCGCTGTACAGCAAATAGTAGGTGAGTCAGGTACTGTGCGCTCTGAGTCGCATAGGCGGCCTCCTCGACAAAGGTTGGCCTTGCTTTTCGCGCGCCCCACGGCGTTTAGTGGCGGTGCTGTGCGTTTGCATCTGTGCGATGGGCCAATATGCCCGAGAAAAGGAATTCACACGTACGATGCCGATTAGTCGGCCTTTTTTTCTGCCAAAAGTGGAGAAAGGTGTGAGCCAGCCGCGGGCAGGCGAAGTGAATCGGTTCAGCAAACTGACATCCAGGCCACAGGGCAGAAACACCATAGGTAGAACGCGTTTAGATCGACGCAGCTCAATGACGTGGGAGTACACGTACCGCCCCACGGCGCAAAAAGAGGGAGGCAGACAGTTGGCTTCTTCCACCGCCGCACCGCCGGTAGTGCCAAGGGACTGGGCTCTGGCCCTGCGGCAGGCAGATGAAGAAGAGGGGGCTTGCCGGAGACCCATTGTAGCCGATGAGGCAATTGAGCGACAACGTCTGCTGCGTCTGCTGCAAGGCAGATGTCCAGTTATTGGAAGGCCATCTACAGAGAACGAGGAACGCGGCATCCGCCTGCTGAATGCGAAGGATTATGCTGGGGCATATGTCTGTTTTAGTCGGGCTCTTAGACAGAACTCTCAATCTAAACTAGCGTGTTGTAAGCGTGCGTTGTGCAGTTGGCACCTCTTTCTATATGACGAGTGCATCGAAGATTGCCAGAAGTGTCTGCAGCTGGACCCTGATCTAGTGACGCTTCTCTGCCGCTCGCTGCTTTTTCGTGAGCGGTACGAGGAGGCACGTGAATGGTACGATCATGCACTTCGTGAGATGGCACCTACGCTGGATGATCCGTACAATATCAAGTGGAGGGCGGAATGCGAGGCGATACCTGCCCTACGACGGTTTCGCTCTTCTGTTGAACAGAAGAAATGGGAGGAGACCCTTCGTGTGAAGGATGCTGCCAAACCTCTGGTCGATGGCTCCCCTTTAGTTGTATTGGAAGCAAGAGTCCTTCTCCATGTAAACCCTACCACAGCACGACTACGTCTTCTTTCTTATGTGCCTACAATCGCGAGGCCCTTATCATCCAATACAGAAATGTCTCCAGAAGAGGTAGCAGCGTGGCGCTGTGTAGAAGAGCATTATCTGCAGGCTTGTGTTCTCTTAGCGCAGGCCAATGCTTACTGTGGTAGCCAGTTTTTGGCTCTCGCCGCGGCTCTCATACAAACATGTTTGACCATTAGTCCCGGATTTGGCCCTGCTCTTCTGCTAGGCCATTACCTTGTTTCCCTAGAGGAGATTCTTTCACGAGTAGCAACATTGTTCGGGCAACAGCGGTACAGTGAGGCAATTCCTCTGATCCATAATGGACTAAACCTGGACAAGTCAAACCGATTAATGTGTAGTTCTCTACACTGTTTGAGAGCAGAGGCCTATGCCCATCTTGGTGAGCACCTCCGTACCATCAGTGACTGCACTGCTGCAATCGAGAGGGACCCAAGCTCTGCACGGGCCTACGTGCTTCGGGCGGAGGCGCATGATAAGGTGGGTGAGCGTGCACTGGCGGCAATGGATCGTCGCACTGCTGTCCGCCTGAGCCCTGCGTTACGCCACATACTCCGTGGAGATGAGGATCAGTTTGCGCCACGGCCTGAACCACCACGCTCACCGCGTGGGAAACAGGGGCCGCGGAAAAGCCGGCCACGTTGGTATGATGCCTTCATGAGAAATAGTGAGTTTGTGAATGAGCCAAGGCCTCTGGGTAGTGAAGTCCCAAAGTTCTGGAGCTATGCTTCACATACGACAGAGCGAACAGCACCACCACGACCAACAACAACAACAACAACAACGGCGTCGTCGACCACAACACTGTACGACATACTTGAGCTTCGGCGCGGGGCCGGTGTGGAGGAGGTTCGAGCGCAGTTCAAGAGGTTGACCTTGAAGTATCACCCAGACAGGGTGGTTAAGGAGACACCAAAAACCCAGCAGGCGGCACTGGAGCGCTTCAAGCTCATTAACCATGCGCATGAGGTCCTTTCAGACCCTAACGAGAAATTTCATTATGATCTCTCGCTTGGCATTCGTGCTCCTGCAAATTTTTAGTGCCCGCTGATCCAGCGCTTATTCTAGTTCGGCCCCATTCTTAATTTGTTTTTGTTGTTGTTTTGTGTTGTTGGAACCGCGGTGAACTTCTTGCGTACAATGTATCGTGGCTACCTGTTTCTTTTTCTTTGTCCTTGTTCTGTTTTTTTTTTGTCTTGACCTTTCTCTTTTATCGTGCGTTCATTCCTTATTACTCACCGATTCGCAATGCGTTGTGTCAGCGGCCTGATATAACTTTCGTAATCCTGTTTTTTCCCCACTTACATTTTCTACCTCGACCACACATACATAAATAAAAATTACTTAATTCCTCTTCTACAGTAATCGTATGATGAACGGAAGAAGAGATTCGCTGCCGAACGGCGGCGAGACGGACCCGCGCCTTGAGTGGTTCGCGTCCCGCATCAAAAGTTGCCTCTTCGGCGTCGGAGATGACTCCATTGAGGAGCTCTTTGGTGATGGGGCGGCAACCGCTATGATTCTGGCGGCCTTCGAGAGTGAGAAAGAACGGTTCATCTCCATCTCCACCCGAGAGGGTGCCACAGCAGAGAGCGCTGTGGGGAACAGGACGTCCGCGGAGTCATCGCGTAAGAAGCCACCGAAGCTGATAGCCTTGACACGGGCCATTCAAAACACGAACATCACTGGCTCTTCCAACTATCCACCGGATCGGACGAGATGCATCTTTTTCGTCCGCGTTGACAATGTACAGTTAACCCAGGAGCTCGTGCAGGACTGGAAGACAAACCCCCGGTGTCCGATTCACAGGGCGTTTGAGATTTCGAGCATGATGGTGCCATCTTTGGCCTCATTCCACACGCTGCTGAAGTACGCCTATAGACCTGTAGTGGAGGACGTGGAGGCGGCGGCGGGTCGGAACAGGTCGGTTGCCATCAAGAAGGTCGCCAATAGACACCTCTACACAGAGATCTTGAATTGGGTGCACCGCCTCGACATGCAGATGACTGGCTTCCGAAATCAAGTTTGTGCAGAGCGACGCTTGCCGATGCCGCAGGCACTTGTGTCAATGGGCTACTCTGACTCGGGGATGAAGTCCGCCATCGCCAACGAGGACGTCATCCGGCAGATCGACATCACGGTGTCGCAGTGGCAAGCAGAGATCAGTTATGCCATGTCGCTGGACCCACAGAAGGAAGGACCACTTGGGGAGATTGAGTACTGGCGCGAGAAGTACAGCACCATCAGTGCTCTTTATGAACAGATTAACTCCCCACAAGCGAAATTCATTCTGAAGGTGGCGAAGGAAGCGGAGTGCAATTCGTTCCACCTCATCTCTACGACAATTCAGCAATTTTTCCGCCAGTACGCTGAGGCGAAAGACAACGTAAAGTTCCTTGGTACACTGGACCGCCACTTTCGCACCTTCCACGGCGTAACGCCAGGCACAGGCTCCCTTCAACCTATCATTGACACACTCGCTTCGATGATGACCGGAATACGCATGGTATGGATTATCTCACGCTATTACTGCACGGAGGAACGCATGGTAGGTTTGTTAGAGAAGATTGGGAAACTTATTGCGCAAAAGGTTTCGCAACATATTGACTTTCGTAGAATTTTGAGCTTACCCTTTGCAGAGGCGAAGGCCAAAGTCGTTGAGGGGCAACAATGCTTGCTAAAGTGGAAATCGACCTACATTAATGTGCAGGAGGAGATCAACAGCAGCGAGCGTGAACAGCCTTGGAACTTTAGCCATAAGCGGTTATTTGAAACAACTGACTACATGTCAGACCGCTGTACCGATCTTCTTGAGGTGATTGAGACAGTGGAGTATTACACCATGGTGTTGGGCGCGCAATTGAAAACGGTGCTTACTGATACAAGTGGGATTGAGCGCATCTTGAAGGATGTGGAAAAGGTCAAACGGCCCTTTGAAACGCTCACGTTTGACCCGTTCGAGAGGAAGGCGACACACAACTGGCAGGTGGTCTTTTCCAATTTTGTAAACACCGTCGCTAATTTGGACCATGAGGTTTCCGCCTTTATTAACAAGATTTTTGACGACGATCTCCGTAGTGCAGAGTCGGCGTTTGAGCTCTTGCTCTCCTTCAAATGCATCGCAGCACGTCCCCAGCGGGCAGGGGAGGCGTTCGATACCGCCTCGTTACTCTCTGAGAAGGCAGATCGCATTTTGGCGCAGTACTTCAGTGAGGTGGAACGTGTTCGAGACATCTTCCTCGAGCACAAGGACAATCCCCCACTGACGAAGAATCAGCCACTTGTTGCCGGTTCTATTCACTGGAGCACATCGTTGTTTCAGCGTCTCAAGAAACCTATTATTCGCTTCCAGCAGGAAGGGATGCTGACCACGACAATGGGTCGACAAGTGCGAGCGAAGTACGTGGAGATGGCACGACAAATGAAGGAGTACGCTACCTCCCGCTTTGTTCAGTGGAGCGATGGGGTGCGGCAAAGTACCACGGCATCACTCAAGATGAATATTCTCCGAAAGGGTGCTGAAGACACGTATGTGACGAACTTTGATATGACTCTCTTTGATGTGATACGGGAGGCGAAATACCTGGACCGTCTCGGCTTTGAGGTGCCGCAAGAAGCCCTTAACGTAACGCTGCAGGATGAATCGTATCACGCAAACGTGGATGCGCTCAAGGCAATGCTGCTTAGCTTCAATTTTGAGTTACAGAGCGCACTAGAAGGCCCTGAGCGCGTTATTTTAGCTAAAAACATCCGTGAGCTGAAGCTTGCACTGGAGCCTGGAATTCACGACATCAACTGGACGAGCTTGGGTATCCCCGACTTTGTGATGAACTGTGAACGGGCCATCACGAAGTTCCGCAACTTGAGCCGTGAGGTGCGCAAACGGGCGGACCACATTCAGACACAGGTCGTCAACAAGATTGGATCAACTAAACTTATGCCAGATTATGAGAACTTGCTGCAGGCGGGTGGCGAGTTGCCGGAGCTTCAGGTCCTCGTCGACACTATTGAGCGGCGCCGCTCAGATCTCGTGGATGCGTGTGTGCGTGCCTACCGCACCGCGAAGCCGTTGTTAACGAAGGTGGAGAGTCAACTCGTTGGAACTCACACAGGAAAGTGTCTCTCACTTGAGAGCTACTACCACCACTGGGAGCATCGCATCTGGAAAGCACTTACGAGGATGGTACTCAATTCGCTTGCAGCCTTTGCAAAAATGCTTGGATACCGAGGATCTTCTTCGTCTGGAAAGCGTCCACCTCTGTTCAAAGTGATGATATTCCTGACAACAGAGCCTGCGTACTCACCACAGCAGCAGGAAATCACAAGTGCTTTCCACAAGGTGCAATCGGGTATCATTGAGTCAACACAGCGCTTCCGACGCTGGATGCGGGGAACTTGTATTGAGTTCACGCAAGGAGAGCTGGTGCCAAGGCCGCCTGAGGGTGAACAAGAAACACTCTTCACTTATTATCAGGACATCAACAACCTTTCTCAGGTCTACAGACTTCAAGCGATCATCAACCGTACGATTCAGACCCACCTTTCTGCCCTTGCAACTAATATCAAAGTACTTCAGCGGTTCCGCTTCATCTATCTGGCAGACAAGAAGCTCTCAGTGGAGCAGCAGGCCAAAAGTCAATTCCATTGGATTGATTACGACACAAAGTTTCAATTATACTTTGATATGATTTCAGACTTTGACTCTGAGGGACACATAAAAGACTTTGGGTTCATGCGGTGTGACGAAAGTGCCTTTTATGCCGAGCTCGTGGAGCACGTGTACCAGTGGATTGCAATGGAAGGTCAACAGATGAACGACACCGTTCGAACACGTATGCAGAAGCGCTTTACGAGCATTATTCATGTTAACCATGACTTGCAGAAACCCTGTGAGAAGATAGACGACCTGAAGTTTGTGCTGGAGGTGATGCATGACGCACGTACCTCATCATTGGATGTGGAGCAGGACATCAGTGATATCAAGTACATTTACGAATCCATCATGCACTTTGGTGTCAAGGTGGACCCTGATGAGCTTAAACAGGCGATGGGCCTCCGCGATCTATGGGAGTGCACACTGGCGCGACTGCACGAGACTGAAAAGATGCTGGAACCAAAGAAGCTTCGATTTAGGGAGCACACACGTGCTGAGGTGACTAGCTTCCTTCAGAAAGGTTGTGATGTGCTTCAGGAGTTTCACGAGAAGGGACCTGGTCGCTCCGGCATCGACCTCCACGAAGGTGTTCTTCTTAAAAAGGAGTGGCGTGAACACTTGGTGAAGCTCCAAGCGAGACGTGACCAACTCACCAAGGCAGAGAAGTTATTTGGGTTGCCTTTAACTGGTCATACACACTTACAGCAGCTCAACGAGGAGCTCACCAAGGTGGAGACAGTATACGAATTGTATGAGGAATGGGTTGCCATTCTGAAGCGCTGGAACCGCAGCAGCTGGAAGGACCTTCTCCTGGAGGATCTACAGAACACGACGGAGGAGAGGGTGAAGCGTGCACGCGTCCTTGGCAAGACCCACGGTGATGTAGAGCCCTTCCGTGATGTGCAGTTGGTCATTTTGAATTTCCACTCTTCTTTGCCGCTACTGGCAAAACTCAAGAGCCCTGCGTTAAAGCAGCGTCATTGGATGGAGCTGATGCGTGTGACGGGCAAACAGTTCTCTATTGAGCAAATCAACTTGGACGACTTTATTTCGATGGAACTGTACCGTTTCACAGATGAGATTGATGGTATTGTTATGGCAGCAGCCAGGGAGCAGGCAGTGGAAAAGGATATTACGGCAGTGAAGGATTTCTGGGCGAAGGCAGAGTTTCTGCCCGTTCCATACGAACCGCGGAAGGGTGACGTGCGCTGCAGCGTTCTCAGTGACACGAGTGAAATCCAAGAGGCAGTTGATGACAACATTCTCAAGATGCAGTCAATCGCTAATGTGAAATGGGCGCAGCCATTCATGGAAGATGTAAAACTTTGGGAGAAGAAACTGGCAATGATCAATGATGTAATTGCTGTTTGGGTCGTGGTGCAGATGAAGTGGCAGTACTTGGAGTCTATTTTTAAAGGCAGTGACGACATTGCCAACCAGCTTCCGAAGGAAACTGCAAAGTTCAATGACTTGGACAAGAAGTTTCTTCGCATCATGAACGAAACAGCTGCAACACCGAACGTGGACATAAGTTGCAACGTCACTGGCCGGCTCGATGAGTTCCGCTACTTGGAGGAAAGACTTGAGGAATGTCAGAAGGATCTTTCCAACTACCTCGAGACAAAGCGGCGCATGTTCCCGAGATTTTACTTCATTTCTGATGATGAACTACTCTCTATTCTCGCTGCAAGCGGTGCCAAGTCGGTGCAGGATCATATGTTGAAGATGTTCGACAATTGTGCTAGACTTCTGTTCAAGAGCGAGGAGGATGAAACAATCTGCGGTGTTGAATCACAGGAAGGGGAAAGGGTGGACTTTGATCGTCCAGTGCCGACCGAAGGTTTGCCAGTGGAGGAGTGGCTGCTGAGCGTGCTGGAGGAGTCACATTCCACGCTACATGACTTTCTTAAGGCGGGCGTATACTACTACCCACGCATGAACCGCCTTGAATGGGTGAAGAAGTACCACGGTATGGTAACCCTAACTGGGGCGAAGGTTTGGTGGACTTTCGAAGTGGAAGACGCCTTTAACGCCTGCAAGAAGGGAAAGAAGAGTGCGGTAAAAGAGCTATCAGGGAAGTTAACGCGTCAACTGATTGACCTCGTTGGAGAGATGGATAAGGATATTGAAAAACAGTATGCAAAGAAGATTAATACTCTTATCATCGTGGATGTGCATGGCCGTGATATTGTCGATCGGTTTGTCCGGGACTCAGTAACAAATGCCCGTGAGTTTGACTGGGAGTCGCAGTTGCGTTTCTACTGGGAGCGTGAAGGTGACACTTGTGTGATTCGCCAGTGTACTGGCTGCTTCAACTACGGATACGAGTACATGGGGCTGAACGGTCGCCTCGTGATTACACCACTAACCGACCGCTGCTTCATGACATTGACACAGGCGCTTTCCTTCTTCCTTGGTGGCGCCCCCGGCGGTCCGGCAGGGACTGGTAAGACGGAGTCGGTGAAGGACCTTGCCAAGGCGCTAGCGATTCAGTGCGTCGTATTCAACTGCGGTGAAGGTCTTGACTATAAAGCGATGGGCACTATCTTCTCTGGGCTCTCGCAGTCCGGCTCGTGGGGTTGCTTTGATGAGTTCAACCGTATCGAACTGCCGGTGCTGTCAGTGGTGTCGGAGCAGCTGCGCAGTATCCAGAGCGCATTAAAGGCTGGTGACAAGGAGTTTCTCTTTGGTGACAGTACCATTCGTCTAGTGCCCACGGTCGGTGTCTTCATCACGATGAACCCCGGGTACGCTGGTCGTGTTGAGTTGCCCGACAACCTCAAGGCGCTGTTCCGCCCTGTGGTGATGGTGGTGCCGGACATGGAGCTTATTGCGGAGAACATGCTCTTTTCGGAGGGCTTTACAACGGCGCGTGAGCTGGCGAAGAAAATGGTGACGCTCTACCAGCTCGCCAAGGGGCAACTCTCGAAGCAGCACCACTATGATTGGGGGTTGCGTGCGTTGAAGGCAGTTCTTGTGATGGCAGGTCAACTGAAGCGTGGGTCACCAGAACTGACGGAGGAGTCAGTCCTGATGCGTGCACTGCGTGACATGAACACACCAAAGTTTATCGCAGAGGATGAGCCACTGTTCAAGGGCCTCATCGGCGATCTCTTCCCGGGCCTTGACCCAACACGTGCCCCGCAGGAGAACCTCTCACGGGCTGCTAGCAAGGTGTTCAAGGAAAAGGGCTTCTACATTGATGCAAAGCAGGTTGACAAGGTGGTCCAGTTGTACGAGACAATGCAGACACGGCACACCTCCATGGTTGTTGGCCCCACCGGCGGCGGCAAGTCAACTGTTATTGACTGCCTCTGCAAGGCACAGACGAACCTCGGTTTGCCAACGAAGCTGTATGTCATCAACCCCAAGGCTCAGCCCACCACCGTTCTGTACGGCGTCATGGACCCTCTCACCCGTAGTTGGACCGACGGTATATTTTCCAACATCTTCCGTTCCATCAACCGCCCACTTGAGAATGGAGAGCGCGAACGCCGGTATGTGGTGTTTGACGGTGATGTGGATGCGAAATGGGTAGAAGATATGAACTCCGTTATGGATGACAACAAGCTGCTTACCCTCCCCAATGGCGAGCGTATTCGTCTACGCCCGACAAGTTCTCTGCTCTTCGAAGTTGGAGATCTACAGTACGCCTCTCCTGCAACAGTTTCACGTGTTGGTATGGTATTCCTTGACCCGGTGAATCTTGGTTGGCAGCCTTTCATATACTCATGGAAGCTGAGGCGCCCCAAGGATGAGCTGGAAACTCTGAACGAACTCATCGAGAAGTATGTGGGGCCACTCCTCGGCTTCATGCTCGACGGCATCGATGGTGAAATGCTGACAAACCCACCGAAGCTTGTGATACCGACCAGTGATCTGAATATGGTGAGGCAACTGACCACCATGCTGAACACCGTCTCTCCGCAGCGAGCGGCACTAGAGCCCAAGGCGCTGCAATGCGTCTTTCTCTTCTGCTGCGTATGGAGCTTCGGTGCTCTAATCAGCACTGCGGAGGATCGCGTGCGATTTGACAAGTATCTCAAGAAGATCAGTGGATGGAACCTACAGGATGTGGGTGACAACTTCCTCACGCGTTTTGTTGGAAGTGGGTCCCTACCAGAGCGCAAGACTATGTACGACTACTTTTTCGACCTTGAGGACAATAGGTGGAAACCGTGGCACATTCTCGTTCACCCGTTTGAGCGTCCGCCAGGGACGAAGTTTGGCTCGCTGCTGGTGTCGACGGTCGACACGGAACGGAACATGTGGCTCCTCAACAAGATAGTGCTAAACCGCACACCTGTGATGCTTGTAGGTGAAAGTGGCACCGCCAAGACGGTAACTATACAGGCGTATCTGCGACAGTTGAAGCAGAAGTCCCTTGAGGCGAACGCCAGCACTGATGATGAAGTGCATCTGGAGGAGATGCTGCTGGAGATGAACTTCAGTTCTCGCACCACCAGCCTCGACGCTCAGCGCGCCATGGAGGATAACATCGAAAAACGCACCAACACAGTCCTTGGACCCCCAGCAAAGAAGCGGCTTGTTGTGTTTGTTGATGATATCAACATGCCGAGGGTGGACTTGTACGGAACCCAGCAGCCAATCGCTTTCTTAAAACTCCTCGTTGAGCACCACTCGTGGTATGACCGGAAGGATTTGCTCTTCAAGGACGTGCGGGACACTCAGTTTGTTGCTGCAATGGCACCACCTGGTGGTGGCCGCAACACACTTGACCCACGTTTCGTGTCACTTTTCACCGTGTTCAACATTTTGTTCCCATCGGATGAGTCGATTAACACCATCTACGGGCAGATTCTCCGAGATGCTTATAAGTCAATGACAAAGGAGGTGAGTGATCTGCCGGACCAACTGACAGCCATGACGCTCAGTCTGTACCAGCAGGTCTTTGCCGCACTGCCAGCAACACCCGCAAAGTTTCACTACATCTTCAACTTGCGTGACCTCTCGCGTGTGTACGAGGGATTGTGCCGAGCCACACTGGAGAAGTTCCCGGAGACCAATCAGATTGTTCGGCTGTGGCGAAACGAGATTACCCGTGTATTTGTTGACCGCATGGCAGATGCGGAGGACAAGAACTTCGTTGCACGTCTCGCCCAGGAAGAGATTGAGAGGCACTTCCCCAGCGCGGTGGAGTACGCATTAGCAGAACCGTTTATGTTTGGTGATTTTGGTGACTTTGAGCCGGATAGCGATGTGGAGCGGCTGCACATCTACGAGGACTTTGGGGCTGAGTTCGACAAGGCCCGTGCCCTTGTCGAGGCGGTTCTTGATGAAATCAACACACCGACGAAGAAGATGGATTTGGTGATGTTTGACATGGCACTGGACCATTTGCTGCGCATCATACGCGTTATTTCACTTCCGCGTGGCAACTGCCTTTTGGTTGGCGTCGGCGGTAGTGGCAAGCAGTCGCTCACAAAGTTGGCGTCAGCCACGTGCCAGATGGAGGTGTTTGAGATTGTTCTCTCACGCAATTACAATGAGGATGCCTTCCGTGAAGATCTGAAGCGCCTATACGCCCGTGTTGGCGTACAGAAAAAGAAGGTTGTCTTCCTCTTCATGGACAGCCATGTGAAGGAGGAGGGTTTCCTGGAGCTTATCAACAACATGTTGGCCTCCGGCATGGTGCCCGCGCTCTTCACGGAGGAAGAAAAGGAGCCGTTGTACAACAGCGTCACAGAGGAAGTGGAGGCGGCTGGCCTCCTGCCCTCAAAGGACAACAAGTGGACCGCCTTTGTCTCGCGTTGCCGTGACAACTTGCATGTTGTGCTCTCCATGAGTCCATCAGGCGATGTTCTGCGCACCCGGTGCCGCAGCTTCCCTAGCCTCATCAACAATACGACAATCGACTGGTTCCAGAAGTGGCCTGCCCAGGCACTCGAGGCCGTGGGCAAGCGGATGCTCAAGGACGAGGACCTGCCGGAGGAGATGAAGCGAATTATCGCTAGCCACGCGGTGTACGTTCACATGACAGCAGATGAACTTTCCACGCACTATCTCGTGGAACTAAAACGCCACAATTATGTCACGCCCAAGAACTTCCTTGGATTCCTGGCGAACTACTCGCGGCTCCTTATCACGCGCCGCGAGGACATTGATGACTTGGTCAACAAGTTCGCAATTGGTCTGGAGAAGCTCGACCGCGCCCAGGAGGATGTGAAGGTGCTGCAAGAGGAGCTTGCTGAGAAGGAGGTGACGTTGCGTGAGAAGCAAGAGATCAACGAGCGCATGACGAATGAAATCAAGGAGCAGAAGACACGGAATGAGAAACGCAAGGCGGAAGCGTTGGTGATGGAAGAGGCTCTCAATGTGCAGAGCGCAGAGATAGAGAAGGAGAGCGCTGAGGCGCAGGAGGTGCTCGACCTCGCGATGCCAGCCCTCGAGGAGGCGATGGAGGCAGTCAGTCACATTAACCCGAAGAGCATTACAGAGTTAAAATCCTTCGCGAAGCCGCCAGCGAGTGTGGTGGCAGTGGTGCGTATGGTGTGTGTCGTCAAGGGTGTCGCTGCCACATGGGAATCAGGAAAGATTATGATGGGACAGAATGATTTCATTCGGTCACTAATTGACATTGACTCCCTTGCACCGACACTGAACCAGGGTAAGATCAATGAGATCAACAAGATCCTCAAAGAGTTTCCCGTCAATTCAAACGACTTGAAGAAAGTAAGTCTGGCTGCGTCCGGGCTGATGATATGGGTGGAGGCGATGAAGGCGTACTGGAATACCGCAAAGGAGGTGCTGCCCAAGCAAGCACGTGTGCGTGAGCTACAGGAGGCAAAGGCCAATGCCGAGAGGCAGCTGGGGGCGTGCCAGGACGAGATTGAACAACTCACAGTGAGTCTGCAGCGGCTTGAAGAACAGCTTGAGGCGGGCATGAATGAGGCACGTCAACTTCAGCAGGAGAAGGCACTGATGGAGCGGCGCCTCAACGCTGCACGTCGTCTGCTCGACGGTTTCGGCTCTGAGAGGGTGCGTTGGGCACACCAGAAGCGAACTTTGGCAGATGTGCGAAACCGCCTCGTTGGCGATTGCCTGGCGGGAGCCGCCTTTCTGTCGTACTTGGGTGCTTTCACCTTCCAGTACCGGCAGGAGGCACTGGAGAAGATGTGGCTGAAGGACATACGTGAACGAGACATTCCCCTCACGGAAGACTTTGCAATTCAACGTCTCCTCACTGACGAAGTTTCCATCTCGCAGTGGGCCAGTGACGGTCTACCATCGGATGATCTCTCGGTACAGAACGGTATTCTCACCACGATAAGCACACAGAGTCTTGGTAAGGGCCGGAAGGCCGGACGCGTTCGCTTCCCACTTTGTATCGACCCGCAGATGCAGGCTGTAAACTGGATCAAGCGTCAACACAAGTCCAACCCGCGGTTTGAGTGCGCCTCATTCAGCGACTCCGACTTCTTGAAGCGGCTGGAATTCGCCATTCAGTACGGTAACCCCTTCTTGTTCGAAGGCGTGGACGAGTTTATTGACCCCATTGTTGACTCGGTGCTGGATCCACAGTTCCGCGAGGACTCGGGTCAGCGTGTCATACGCATTGGCGACAAGGATGTCGTGTGGGACCCCAACTTCAAGCTGTACCTCTGTACGAAGCTGCCTAACCCAGAGTACCCGGCAGAGGTCTTCGGTAAGACAATGGTGATTAACTACGGCGTCACGGAGGATGGTCTCGAGAGTCAGCTGCTTAACTATGTTGTGGCGAGCGAGCGCAGCGATCTCCAACGTCAGAGTGAAGAACTTGTTCAGACCATGGCAGAAAGCCGCGCACAACTGAAGGAGCTTGAGGACACTCTGATTCGTGAATTGACATTGGCAACTGGAAATATCCTTGACAATGATGAACTGATTGCAACTCTGGAGAACACAAAGAGCAGTGCTACAGAGGTACAACAAAAACTCGAGCAGGCCAAGGAGACGGCACGTGTTACGGAGATTTCGCGTCAGGAGTACCGACCGGCAGCTAGGCGTGGCGCCGTCTTGTACTTTGTCATCTCGGAACTTTCAGCAATCAACTCCATGTACGAGTATTCCCTTTCTGCATTCCTGCACGATGTGTTCGGCTACTCCATCACGAAGAGTGATGCTTCCTTTGAGATTAAGGATCGCCTCAAGAATATCATTCGTGCTCTCACATATAACCTTTACTGCTACGTGTGCATGGGTATCTTTGAGAAGGACAAGCTAATGCTTTCCTTCCAGATAGCCATCCGCCTCCTCTCGCAGGAGGACCGCATGGTTCACAGTGAGTTGGAGTTCTTCCTTCGTGGTTGTGTGCTGGCATCGAAGGATTACCCATCGAACCCTGTCGACTGGTTAACAGAGCGTCAGTGGAATGATGTTTGTCGGCTTTCTACCTCATGTGAGGTCTTTTCGAATCTTTGCAGCGATGTGGCGAATAATACTGAAGAATGGCGCAGGTGGGCTGCATTGGATCGTCCCGAAGACCGAAACAACGTTATTCCGTGCAGGTACAGTGATCACATTAGTGAGTTCCAGCTGCTTTGCCTTCTCCGCTGCTTCAGAGGCGATCGTATTTACACTGCTGCCACCAACTTCATCAGTAACTGTGATCTCCTTGGTGAACAGTACGTTATTCCACCGATTCTGCGTTACAAGGATGTGTTGGACAAGAGCTCTGCTACTGCACCCATTGTGTGCATCGTTTCCCCTGGTGCCAACCCAACGGATGAGATCATCAAGTTGGCGACGAAGGAGGTGGGTATTCAAAAACTACGGCCCATTTCACTGGGGCAGGGACAGGGTGAAGAGGCTATGAAGCTTGTCGAGGTAGGCGTAGTACGTGGCCACTGGGTTCTACTGCAGAATTGTCACTTACTGACAAAGTGGATGAAGGAGCTTGAGAAGGTTATTGAGAAGATGGATCAGACGCCGCCACAGGAAGAGTTCCGTCTTTGGCTCACCACGGAGCCGAGTCGAGACTTCCCTATGGGCATCCTGCAGCGGTCCTTGAAGGTGGTTAACGAGCCACCCAACGGACTCAAGATGAACATGAAGAATACGCTCTCCAAGGTTACGGAGGATCAACTTGATGCGTGCCAGCATAGTGCCTTCCGCCCGCTAGTCTTTACCCTTGCCTTCTTTCACGCGGTTGTACAGGAACGGCGCAAGTACGGCAAGATTGGCTGGAATGTTGTGTACGATTTCAACGAGACAGACTTCTCTGTGTCCATGCGCCTACTTGACACGTACCTGACAAAGACCTATCAAAACAATGACCCAATTCCGTGGGACACGTTGCGTTACCTTGTCGGTGAAGCCATGTACGGAGGTCGTGTGACAGACAGCATGGACCGCCGTATTGTCAAGACATACCTGGAGGAGTACTTTGGGGACTTCCTTTTTGATACCTTCCAGTCATTCCATTTCTACTTCAACGATGAGGTTGACTACTGTCTTCCTCCTGACAGCACGGACTCGAACAAGCGGGTTACGTTACAACAGATGGTGGCGCTGGTGGAGTCTTTCCCGAAAGATAATACTCCGGAGGTTTTTGGACTGCATCCCAACGCAGAGACGGGGTACCTTCGCAATGCAGCAGAAGGAATGTGGGCTAGTTTGATTGAACTGATGCCTCGTTCTGGTAATGCAGCGGCACTTGGCAGGGAGTCGAGAGAGGATGTTCTCTTGAAACTCACACAGGAGATCTTGACTCAGATTCCAGAGCCACTGGACCGAAAGCAGATCATGCGAAAGGAGAGGGACCGCGCGCAAGAGAAGGGGCACAGTAATCTGCAGCCCACCCAAGTTGTGCTTCTACAAGAAATTGAGCGTTGGAATAGACTGGTTGGAGTCATGGTTTCATCCCTTAGGGAGCTGCAAAAGGCTCTTTCTGGTGTTATTGGTATGAGCAATGATCTTGACGAACTTGCGTCAGCTCTGCACAATGGTCAGCTACCAAGTTCGTGGAAGAGGTGGGCGCCCGCGACGCGGAAGAACCTGGGACGCTGGTTAGCCCATTTCCATCGGCGCTGTAAGCAGTACACGGACTGGGCCGTGAATGGCGAGCCCAAGTGCATGTGGCTCTCTGGCCTCATGGTGCCGGAGTCATACATTTCTGCCCTTGTGCAGGTAACCTGCAGGCGCTACAAGTGGCCGTTAGATCGCTCAACCGTCGTGACAACTGTGACGCCATTTGTTTCCTCATATGATGTGCGGGAGCGGCCAAAGGACGGTGCGTATGTTTCTGGACTTTACATTGAGGGTGCCCGCTGGAATACAACCAAGCACTGTCTCGCACCTCAGATGAAGAAGGTGCTGATCTCGGAGATGCCTGTCATGCAGATCATCCCGATGGAGTCGTCTAAGCTTAAGTCGGTGGCAATGCTGAAGACGCCGGTGTATGTCACTTCTGACCGCCGCAATGCGGCTGGTGTTGGCCTTGTCTTTGAGGCCGATTTAGCGACTGACGCTCACCCATCCTTGTGGACACTGGAGTCTGTCGCGCTTATCCTGGACTCAGATGACTAGTCCAACTATAGAGACGCTCGTTGCTGTGTTTGCTTGTTGCTTTTGTTTCTTTCGTGAGAGTGTCAAGACACCATTTTGTGTTGACTTGCTAGCAACTCACAGGGGGCAGCGTGGGACACTCAACGACGATGTAGGCTCCACACATGTATATGCAAGCCGTTTATTTTAAAAAGAACCCCCACTCAACAAAACAAACAAACAAACAAAAAATCAAACCAAACAACAACGACACCAATGAATGACGAACTGCAATGTATTTCCTTCGAGTTTTGGGCATGTGCACAATCGTGAGGGTTCGGTGCGTACGAACACCTGATGCTGTGACCCAAGCGGCTGCTCACTATTGAATGAGAGTACGCTTCCTATTGTTTTCCCTCATTGCATTTTTTCAGTAGGTATTGACAGAAATAGACGTGATGGGACATCACCACGAGAATCATCCGGTGTACAACCACCGTGAGGCGCTGCTGATTCAGCGGCGTATAGTGAGCTTCCTCCTGGTGTTCTCCGTCATGGCCGTTGCTTTCGTTATCTTAATCGCATCTGTGCAGACAAGAGAAGCGAGTTGCCAGACGCGAGCCGAGGTCGCTATTTACAGCATGGCTGCACGACCAACTGAGGACAATGACACCCTCATTTCCTCGATCATTGTCGCACTTAAAGAAAGGGGCGTTCAGTTGGAGTTGGCGGATGAGGATGATGAAGTGTATGCGACGCGGCAGATCGACGTGCTCGACACAGCCGAGAGGACGCTGTGGGCCTCCGGCTTCCGCCTCTTGCGCTGGACGGGGGCGAACAATGTGTTGTGGCAGTTGCGATTCCTCGACCAAAGCCTGTGCCAGACAGGCCGGGGGATCTCCATGGAGGCCCTGCCCAATGTTGACTACGAGAAGGTGACGCACAAGGTGAGGTCGGTTGGCGGTAATAACGGCAACCGGGCGTTTCTGTACGAGGTTAACGTGATGACAAAGGACAAGAAGAGAATCACGACATTCCCACAACTGCAGTCCCTGTTCCCCGGGTTCAACGCTCAGGTGGCGTCCCCGCGCATGGTGGTGACGAGGTCGTTCCGCCGCCTCCGTAACTTTGCCGCCGACTTGTACCACGGCGAGACTATGATGGACATCGAGCTGCGAGTGGAGATGTGGGGGCGACCGGACGGGAACGCTCTTTTCTGGCGTGTTCAGCTGTTGTCAAGGAATATTTTAGCCGAGATTAATCTGAAGGAGATTTATAATGTACTAGCGGAGGTTCTACAGAGCAGGAATATCATGTGTGATAGGGAAGGCTGCGGGAATGCATACGATGACGCATTCCTCCAGTAGAAGCGAAGGACCAATTAAAAAGGCCTTTGCCGCTTCTTATTGTGTTCACCTCGCTTTCTGTGTAGGTCATGAGAGGAATGATTAACTTGTTTCGAAGAAACTGAAGAGGGAACAAGGGGAACGAAAAATAAATCACTTTTGCGTATCGCCGCGCTGCCTACAGTGGCTCATCAATTTCCTCCTTTATCAAGAATTCATCTCTGGTGCGGCACCTTCTTTACACTACTCTTTTTTTTTATTTTTGTTTTGAAGGCTTCTAGAGAGGAGCCATGTGGCGCAATGTGGAGACGGCCGGTGTGCACTTGGCAGACTGCACACTACTAGGTTACCGCGGCGATCTGGCGCTGGAGCAGAAACGGGCGGAGGCGGAGGCACAGAAGCGTCACAATGCACCCAAAGAAGGAGGCCCCACCAAAACAAATGGCACAACTGCAAAGCAACTGGCTTCACCATTTATTCGTGTTGATGAAGAATTGATCGCATCGAGTATTTCTCTTTCTGCAATGCTACGCGCTGAAGCAGAGCGCAAGGCACATTTGACGAACAAAATACGGCATGAAGAGGAGAGAGAAGCATTACTCAAGCTGCATGATGGAATGCGGAGCACCATCATTGACAGCTGGGCGCTGGAATTAGAGAGGCTGAAGGTGACAGAGCAGAAGGCTTTCAGGAATGCTCAATGCAGAGAACGAAGCCGACGGGTGTCGCAGTGGCGCGAGGCCGCTGGTCAACAGCACCTGGCGGATGAGGCACGACTATGGGCAGACATGGAGCAGGTGATGATGCGGGAACGAGAGGAGGGCAGAGCCGCGCATCGTCAGCGAAACACGACAGCGCGGAACTAGGCCAGGTGAGGGTTGTATTTCTCATGTAAACAAAAAAAAAACTAACGGCACTGTCCATGGTAAAATCGACTTTTTACTAGTTTATTCTTCTTACTTTTACCCATATATATATATGTATGAATAAATAATTGTAATAGATACAAGAAGTGAGTTCTTAGAGGTGTACTCTCTTCCCTTCACTTTGTTTTGCTGGAATATATTGCGTGAAGAGTTAACATGTCATGTTGCCCTGTGGGCGTCCTGTTGAGGCACAAGGAGAAGGCGCTTGAGAAGTACCTAGCCACACCTCTCCGACCTATGAATTTGCGTGAAATGTTATGCAGCGGCAGACAGCATATACGTATTGGGGTGGAGCAGTTGGCCGCACGCACAGCTCGCAGCTACATGGCCTTTTCAAGTGAAGTTTTAAGGCGGAGCCTCGACCGTGAAATTGGTGAGCGGTTGTTACCCTTGGAGTCCATATGCAAGAGGGAGTTCGAATGTTGTCTGGAACTTAGTGAATTTGCCGAAGTGTATCTTAAACAGATGGAGAGTGGTGGGATTTGTGTGGTGGATACACCACAACCAAACGAGGTCAGCGATGATAGACATGTGGACCGCATCATGAAGGGAGAGGTGGGTTGCTGTGGCTCCCCAGCGACTCATTTTATCGATGTGTTGGAGAATCTTCGTCCTCATGAGAACTTGCTGGACATCGTCGTCAACGAGGGGTGCATCCGTTCACCAGATCTAAACCACTGGCTCTCGTGTTTTTGTCGTAGGCGTGTTTCGTGGCGTGTAATTCATGAGCACCTCCTTCATCTTGTCGGACCGAATCGTTACTCTCCAGTCATCCGGGAGGACCACAGTGTGGGCGGAATCTTGCAGCAGACAGGCACTGTCGTTATGGAACTGTATACACGTCTTGCTCAAGAAGCCCACGGTGGATCACTGACGATCAAGGTGGAGGAGCAGCCTGCGTTGCTCACACAAACTCCGGGTGGCTGGATGGTAACCTCAAGCAATGCCGTTGATCCTGTGGTGCCGTTGAGTATAGTGCCGTCCGCACCGTCGTCGGGATTGGTTTACTCAGTTGAGGGGCATCTGGAGTACATCTTTAGGGAACTGATGAAGAATGCATGTGTGGCGATGCTGCCACGCACGAGGGAGGTTGAGCTGCACGTGCGCTTCGCCTCGAACGACACCCACGTTATGGTTGATGTGACAGATACTGCGGGGGGAATCTCTCTAGAGACACTGGGGAAGCTCTGGCTCTTCGGCTGGTCGACGAACACCNTATGGTTGATGTGACAGATACTGCGGGGGGAATCTCTCTAGAGACACTGGGGAAGCTCTGGCTCTTCGGCTGGTCGACGAACACCCCTATTGGCGATTCTATGTGCGGTTTCGGTGTTGGTTTGCCTGCCTCGAAGGTCTACATGGACCTCTGGGGAGGCAGGATTAAGATGTACAGTGCTCCTGGGACTGGGACCACCGTTCGCGTGACCTTTCCCAAAGCCCCTACAGAGATTTGTTTGCCGAGATGAACGGACGTCGCGTATGCCACGTGCATGTGGATGCGCACCAGGTTTGCCGAGTTCTGGTGGTGAATGAGTTAATATAAACTGTGAAGTTTTTCGTTTGTTGTGGTGTTTCCCCTGTAGGAGCAAGGGGATGAGAGGGTGGAGAGAGAGAGGTAAGTCTCTCTGCCTGTGTGTGTGTGTGTGTGCGAGGGAAGCAGGGTTTTTTGTCCAGTTTGCCTTCTCGCTCTTGTGTTGGATTCTCGGTATATGCGTGGGGTTCAGTGTGGGTGTGAAATTTTGTTTTTTCTGCTTGACTGCGACTGAGAAGCTGAGACTGAGGCGGTGCGAATAGTACCACCACCACCAGCATCAGCAGCATCAGCATCAGCATCAGCAGCAGCAGCAGCAGCAACGTCAAACAAAACGAATTACCAAGTGGTGCGTATTGGTGCGGATGAAATAGAAATAAGAAGAAAAGGTCTGCTCTCATCCTCTCTCTCTATAAATATGAATATATTATTCTCTCTTGGCTTCCCGACTAAGCTAGTGAGACATGGAAAAGGAGCAGAAAAGCATATGCTGGCGACCGAAAAATGCGCTCATTGAATGCATAGTTGGAACCAAGTGTTTCGAGGAGAAGGGCAATGTAGAGGACTGCGTTGCGACAAATGAGTGCTTCCTGGAGCGGCGCAACTGGACGCTGTGCAAGGTGAATGCTGTCAACCCTCGATATCGCCTTCGCGGCAACCCGTACGACGTGGCAACGGAGGACCAGAAGAAGATTGAGGCGCGTGACGAGCGCATCAAACGGAGGGAGTTGGAAGAGGAGGGTGTCTTTGCCAAATAGCACACACGCTTCTCCTGCGCCTCAGCCAAACGAGGTGGTGGAGGAAGGACAATGCGTGAGTGTGTGAAGGAGAACGATTTTTTCTTTTTACAAATTGTTTGGAAAAATTCTGACACCTAGGCGTTGAGTATATCTGTATATAGACGAAGAGGAAAAGTGGACTACGTCTACCCTTCTTTTCTCCTTCCCCCCTCTCTTCCTCTCTTCCTGAGTCGCATGTGTGAAAGCTGTATAATGCGAAGAGTGAAAAGGGGGCTCCTGCTGCACAGAAAAGAGTAGTAACAATAGAAGTTCTTGAATGGGCGAGCGACAAACCCGGCGCGTGCTGTCTGTCGCATCTCC